TGTAAAATGTACATGGATTCAATTACCTAATTGAGGGATTTTTTGTTATTGTGTAGGGACAGGGCCTCACTTTGTTGACCAGGCTGGTCTCAAACTCCTGACCTCAAGCAGTCCTCCCACTTTGACCTCCCAAAGTGTTGGGATTACAGATGTGAGCCACAGCACCTGGCCAAGGAATGTTTTAATTTTTTTCCTTCAAACATGTTAATGATAATAATACAAGAGTGTCCAGATAAGACAAATTTGTAGTCAGTGTAATTCCCAAATAAGAAAATGTTTTAAAAAATGCAATTACTTTCTTTTTTAACTGCAGTTCTAATTTTAGATATTTTACTGAATATTTTGAAGAACTACAATAACACAACTTGCTTCAGCATAAAATTCCATATTTTCTAATTCAGTTTGAACCTCAATACCAGAGAGACTTTATTATGACACGGTTTTACTCATACATCAGGAATGGTGAGGAAAATACAGAAAATGTAAATCACTATAATCTTATCATCTAAAGAAAGCTGCCCCAGCTACTCAGGAGGCTGAGGCAGGAGAATTGCCTGAACCCAGGAGGCGGTGGTTGCGGTGAGCCGAGATTGTGCCATTGCACTCCAGCCTGGGTAACAAGAGCGAAACTCCGACTCAAAAAAAAAAAAAAGAAAAAAAAGAAAACTGCTGTTGATATTTTGGTGTTTATACATTTGTTCCCTTTAGAAAATGAGATCATGGGCTGGGTGCGGTGGCTCACGCCTGTAATCCCAGCACTTTTGGGAGGCCGAGGCAGGCAGATCACCTGAGGTCAGGAGTTTAAGACCAGCCTGGCTAACATGGTGAAACCACATCTCTACTAAAAATACAAAATTAGCTGGGTGTGGTGGTGTGGCACACACCTGTAATCCCAGCTACTCAGGAGGCTGAGGCAGGAGAATCACCTGAACCTGGGATGCGAAGTTGCAGTGAGCCAAGATCACACCATTGCACTCCAGCCTGGGTAACGGAGTGAGACTCCGTCTCCAAAAAAAAAAGAAAATGAGATTATGTTGTTTTATAATTTGCTCTTTTTATTTAGTTAATTTATCACGAACAGTATCCTATGTCATTAAATACTCTTCCACAGTATCATTTTCAAAAAGCCAAATAGGGTTTGATTTTTCTAATATAACACAAATTTCATAGATAGGCAGATCAAAGCTGGTCCAGCAGTTCAATGATGTTATCTACTTTGTAGTCTTTAGTTTCAGTCTACACTTTCATAGTGGGAAAATGGTTGCTTCACCTCTACCTTTCCAGCTCTTCCCCTCTCTCATTGTTTTGGCTGTCTAAGACTTATTCTTATTACAAGAAAATCTTGAGACTATAACATCCCCTCCTGCCTTACTGGGAGGGTGCCAAGTGACCAAAGTGCCAAGAGCCAAAGATGATTTGGATAGGTCCAGCATGGCCAGTAGGTGAGTTTATTAGAGCTTACCTATGGAGCACTCCTGGGCAGCAATAGGACAGATTTAGGGATCTACCCACCTCCCATTTCTAAGCTGCTTTTAAGCTAGTTTTCTCGCTCTTTGCCTACTATATGCATGTGATAAGACTGTTTTCCTTGGTTGGGTCTCAGATGCTCTCTAAAATCTTTAGTTCTCAGGGACGCTTGCTCCTCAGTGGGCACCATGGCTTTGGCTCACTGCCTGGCCTTCAGAGTTCAGGCAGCGGACATACACCCTTGAATAACCTGGTGGTGGGGGACCCACCACACTACACTTCTCCAGTAAATTCTTTAGAAGGGGCCGTTGAGAACAATATTCTCTAAATTCTTGAATGTTGAAAGCAGCTTGTGGACATTATAATTAAAAATTTGTTTGACAGGATATAAAACCTTTAGTACACATTTTGTTTCAAGTTTCTTAAAAATATATTATCCCTTTTATTTCTGGCGTGAAGCATTGCTGAGACAATGCCTAATGATAGTCTAATTTTTTTCCTTTATATATGACTTCATCTTTTTACTTGGATGCCCAAAGCCTTTTTTTTTAAAAGTTCAATACGTTTACTAGAATATGTGTTGGCATTGGTCATTCTGCTTCAGTTGTTTCAGGTATGCAGTGTACCACTTTTTCTTCTTCTTTCTTTTTCCTTCTTTCTTCTTTCTTCTTCTTTTTGTTTTTTTGTTTTTTGAAATGGACTCTTGCTCTGTTGTCCAGGCAGGAGTGCAGTGGTGCAATCTTGACTCTCTGCAACCTCTACCCCCACTCCGGGTTCAGGTGATTCTCCTGCCTCAGCTTCCTGAGTAGCTAGGATTACAGGTGCACACCACCATGCCCAGCTAATTTTTGTGATTTTTAGTAGAGATGGCGTTTTACCATGTTGGCCAAGCTGGTCTTGAACTCCTGACCTCAAGTGATCTGCCCACCTTAATCCCTCAAAGTGCTGGGATTACAGGCGTGAGCCATCGCGCCCAGCCCACAGTATACCCTTTCAATAATGCTGTTTCAAAAAGAATTTTTTAAAGCATCTAATTACTTTGTGTGTTTTTTCTTTTCCCCCCGAGATGGAGTTCCACTCTTGTCGTCTAAGCTGAAATGCAGTGACGCAATCTCGGCTCATTGCAACCTCCGCCCCATGGGTTCAAGCAATTCTCCTGCCTCAGCCTCCTGAGTAGCTGGTATTACAAGCGTGTATCACCATGCCTAATTTTTGTATATTTAGTAGAGAGGGTTTCACCTTGTTGGCCAGGCTGGTCTCGATCTCCTGACCTCAGGTGATCCACCTGCCTTGGCCTCCCAAAGTGCTTGGGATTACAGGCATGAGCCACCATGCCTGGCCTGGTTTTCTTTTTTGGAAACTTCTGTTATGTCCATGTTGAATCTTTGCCTTTCTTTTTTGTTGTTATTTTCTCTCAAATTCTTATCTCCTCTTAATTTCCTTTTGATTTTTCTTTTTAAACTTTTATGTCTCTTAAAGTATACCTGTATGTTTACTTATGTTTTTATTTATTATGGCTAAGTCTTCATTTCTAAAGTGATCTTTTTTCTTGTATTATAATTGTCATCGCATTTTCTAAGGTTTTCTAATTCTGATTTATGTTCTTGTTTTATATCTTTTGACTGGTTTTGAAAAAGTAGGTTATAGTTTTTATCTCACATGTAGTTTTATCTGTCTTATGATCTTTTGTAATGAGTTTTATAGTCTCTTTTTTTCTTACATAACTTTGTGTGGGATTTGACCCTCTGTCCTTTTCTGTTGCTCATTTTTATGTGAAATTAGTTTTTCTGAACTTTAAAATTAGGAGTGGTTTAGGGTAGTGTGTATGAGTCTAGAGCTCCACCTTCTGATAATTTTGTAAAAGAAGAAAGTTTTTTATTCTGGCTTTGTTCCTCTCTGCCATTTTCACTTTTTTTTTTTTTTTTTTTTTTTCGAGACAGGGTCTCTGTTGCCCAGGCTGGAGTGAGTGTAGTGGTGTGATCTCAACTCACTGTAACCTCCACCTCTCGGGTTCAAGTGATCCTTTCAGCTCAGTCTCCCCAGAAGCTGAGACTACAGGTGCATGCCACCATGCCTGGCTAATTTTTATATTTTTGGGTAGAGCTGGGGTTTCACCATGTTGGCCAGGCCAGTCTCAAACTTCTGACCTGAGGTGATCACTTGTCTCAGCCTTCCAAAGTGCTGGGATTACAGTTGTGAGCCACTGTGCCCGGCCTATAGTTGTTGTTGTTGTTGTTGTGTTTAAGAGACAGAGTTCTGCCCTCTCACCCAGGCTTGAGTGAATGGTATAGATATAGCTCACTGTAGTCTCAGACTTCTGGGCTCAAGTGACCTTCCTACCTCAACCTTCCCAGTAGCTGGAATTACAAGTATACGCCACCATGCCCAGCTGATGTTTTTTATTTTTCTTATAGAAACTGAGTCTTGCTGTGTTGCCCAGGCTGGTCTTGAACTCCTGACCTTAAGCAATTTTACTGTTTTGGCCTCCCAAAGTGTTGGGATTCCAGGCACGAGCCACTGTGGCTGGCCCTGCCTTACATTTTTATCTGAACCTCTTCTATCCTTTGTCTCAACTGTACTACTCAGTTTGGATTTTCTTCCCATTGTTTCTTCTTGATACGGGGCTTTTTCTAGAGGGGAGCTTTGCTTAGTTACTTTCAGGAACTCATAGGGCGCAGACTATTCCAGCCCTTATTGCAGACCCAGTTTATTTGCCCACTGTTGAAATGTGCAAAACTCCTCTCAGTTTCAGCTGCCTTTCTCATATTGGCTGTCCTAGATTTCCATTAAGTCTTGTTAGCTGCTTTGGGGTTTTTAGGTCAGTCAGATGTACTGTTGCTTTCTGCTGCACAGATTATGTTACCTTGAAGGTCTTATAGCTTGTTATCTTAGTTTTACATTATATAAATATGCATAATTTCTTTCATCAGTCCCTTAATGAATATTTAGAATTCTCTTCTATTTTTCCTATATTAACAGGTCTGGGATAAACTTTTTTGTTTGTTTTTGTTTTTGTTTTTGTTTTTGAGATGGAGTCTCGCACTGTTGCCCAGGCTGGAGTGCAATGGTGTGATCTCAGCTCACCGCAACGTCCGCCTCCTGGGTTCAAGCGATTCTCCTGCCTGAGCCTCCCAAGTAGCTAGGACTACAGGGACATGCCACCACGCCCAGCTAATTCTTTGTATTTTTAGTAGAGGCGAGGTTTCACCATATTAGCCAGGATGGTGTTGATCTCCTGACCTCCTGATCTGCCTGCCTCAGGCTCCCAAAGTGCTAGGATTACAGGCATGAGCCACTGCACCTGGCCTGGGATAAACATTTTTAGGGATAAACTTTTTAAATATTTGTGATTATTTCTTAAGACTAATTTTTAGAAGTTTTTGTAAATCAGAAAATATTCATCTTTTTTATGGCTTTTGATGCAAATTCCCAAACTGCCTTCTAGAATGCCTTTTAGAACTATACACTTCGGTCTTACAGTTCATTTTTAATCATTCTTTATTTTCTTTATTTTTTTAAATTAATCAGTTTTTAAAAATATGGAATGCGTCTTGAATTTTCGTGTCGTTCTTGCACAGAGGCCATGCAAATCTTCTCTATATTGTTCCAGTTTTAGTATATGCACTGCCAAAGTGACCACTTAATTATTCTTTTTATTTTTTTGAGGCCTAGCCTTGCTCTGTTGCCCAGGCTAGAGTGCAGTGGCGTGATCTTGGCTCACCGCACCCTCTGCCTCCCAGGTTCAAGTGATTCTCCTGCCTCAGCCTCCTGATTAGCTGGGATTACAGGCACCTGCCACTGCACCCAGCTAATTTTTGTATTTTTTGTAGAGACAGGGTTTCACCATCTTGGCCAGGCTGGTCTTGAACTCCTGACCTCATGATCACCCGCCTTGGCCTCCCAAAGTGCTGAGATTACAGGTATGAGCCACCATGCCCAGCCTAATTATTCTTTTAATTGTACTAGTGACATTGGATGGCTTATAAACACAAAAAATATAGTCACCAATTCAGAATTTGGCCTCTAGACCACACCCTGTGACGTCCCTGGTTAAGACCCAGAAACTTAATAAAACAAGCTTTTGAGCTGCTAAAAGTTAATATCACGAAAGCTATAAATTAACACATGCACTATGATTATAGGAGACTTTTCCAGTTCATACTCGGAAAATACAGTTTCCTTATTTTAATTACTTTTGATTTCCATATCAGACTAAAAGAGGATATGGCATCTTTAATAGTTATATAGTGACAACTGTGAATGGTAGTGGCAAAGAAAGGGAGAAATCAAACATGACTTGATTAGATGTGGCTTATCTTAGCTAAAAGTAACAAACTATTGGATAACAATGAAATTTCAAATTGTGCCAAAGAAGAAAAGACAAAAGAAAAAATTTTTAAAGGTAATAAACTAGAAGTCAAATTTAAGGAATATAGATATTTTTTCTATCTCATGATTGACAGTGACTCTCTTACTATTGTTCTGTATTTAGTATTTTAAGTCATAGGTTCAGATACATCGTAACTAAACAATTTGGCTAATTTATGTGCAGTTTATGTTTTGTAAGAATTTTTTTTTCTTTTTTGAAAATCTGTGTTTGTTTAAAAACCAACATGGAGTGTCTGCTGGACATTTTATTTAATTTTATTTACTCTATTTTTTTGAGACTGGGTCTGTCTCTGTTGCCCAGCCTGGTGTGCAGTGGCATGATCGTGGCTCACTGCAACCTCTGCTTCATGGACTCAAGCATCCTCACACCTTAGCCTCCCAAGTAGATGTGACTATAGGTGTGCACCACCATACCCAGCTAGTTTTTGTATTTTTTGTAGAGATCAGGTTTCGCCATGTTGTCCAGGCTGGTCTGAAACTCCTGAGCTCAAGTATTACAGGCATAAGCTACCATGCCTGGCCATCTCTCTCTCTCTCTCTCTCTCTCTCTCTCTCTCTCACACACACACACACACACACACACACACACACACACACAGTTTTTATTAGGCAAATAGTACCCAATTTTAAAAAAAATAAGAACTTGCCGGGCGCGGTGGCTCAAGCCTGTAATCCCAGCACTGTGGGAGGCCGAGGCAGGTGGATCACGAGGTCAAGAGATCGAGACCATCCTGGTCAACATGGTGAAACCCCGTCTCTACTAAAAATACAAAAAATTAGCTGGGCATGGTGGCGCGTGCCTGTAATCCCAGCTACTCAGGAGGCTGAGGCAGGAGAATTGCCTGAACCCGGGAGATGGAGGTTGCGGTGAGCCGAGATCGCACCATTGCACTCCAGCCTGGGTAACAAGAGCGAAACTCCGTCTCAAAAAAATAAATAAATAAGAACTTGTAACTAAGTCATAAAAAAGAGATTAAATATCCTAAATAATTCTGCCATCTAGATATAAGTACTATCATCCTTGATGCTATTCTCTCTCCCTGTGTTTCTTTATGTTTTATTTTATTTTTTATTTATTGAGACAGGGTCTTGCTCTGTCACCCAGCCTAGAGTGCAGGGGCACAGTCATGGGTCACTGCAGCCTCAACCCTCTAGGCCCAAGCAGTTTTCTTGCCTCACCCTTCCTCGTAGCTGGAACTGCAGATGTATGCCTGGCTAATTTATTTTTGTAACAATGGGGTCTCGCTATGTGGCCCAGGCTGGTCTTGAACTCTTCCTTAAGCAATCCATTCTAGGTGCTCATCAATCCTAGGTGCCAACAGCTAGGGCACCTAGGTTGATGCCATGTCTTTGCTATAGTGAATAATGCTGTGATGAACATGCACATACATGTGTCTTTTTGGTAGAAAGATTTTTTGTCTTTTGGATATATACCCAGTTATGGGATTGCTGGGTCAAATGGTAGTTCTGTTTTAAGTTCTTTGAGAAATCTTCAAACTGCTTTTCAGAGTGGCTGAACTAATTTATATCCCCACTGTTACGTTCCCTTTTCTCTGCAGACTCACTAGCACCTATTGTTTTTTTTGACTTTTTAATAATAACTATTCTGACTGGGCATGGTGGCTGATGCCTATACTGTAATCCCAGTACTTTGGGAGGTGGAGGCAGGTGGACTACCTGAGGTCAGGAGTTCGAGACCAGCCTGACCAACATGGCAAAACCGCATCTCTAAAAATACAGAAATCAGTGAGGTGTGGTGGCACGGGCCTGTAATCCCAGTTACTTGGGAGGCTGAGGCAGGAGAATTGCTTGAACCCGGGAGGTGGAGGTTGCAGTGAGCTAAGATTGCACCACTGTACTCCATCCTGGGCAATAGAGCAAGACTCTGTCTCAAAAAATAAATTAATTAATAATAATAATAGCCATTCTGACTGGTGTGGGATAGTATCTCATTGTGGTTTTGATTTGCATTTTTCTGCTGATTAGTGATGATGAGCACTTTTTTTATATTTCTTGGCCACTTGTATGACTTCTTTTGAGAAGCATCTGTTCTTTTTTTTTTTTTTT